TAAATAAGCGTTACTAAAAAAAACGAGATTTCGGCTTTGAATTTTCAAGGCTGAATTTTTTTACTTATAAGTTCCAAAAGCCTGAAAGCTAGTTTTCTTTTAATACAAACAAAAAGTTATCACTTTGTTTATTGTATTTGTACATTTTTATGTAAACCGCATGCTGTGCTTGATAGCCACAGGCACAAAATATTTTAATTTACTAATATGGCTCAGTCTTTTCAAAAATCTTAGAGGATTTGATCTTCGCCAATTTTTGATTTTTCCTTGGAGTTTCAACTTTTATCAAGGGTTTCACCATAGTTTCGCTGTTTTATCAGAGTTTCGCCGTTTCACCTTTCGCCGGGTTTAGTCTGTTTCACCTTTCGCCGGGTTTAGTTTCGTCTTTCGTCATTTGCCAAAAATAGTTTCGCCTGCCAACACTAGTTACGATAATTATTTTGTATAAACCATTAAACATTCAAAGTATCTTGTTTAATGCTTAATTAAGCGAGATTGGAGTTAAGAAATAGAAACTATTAACTGTTCTATATACGTGATTGTTATTTCCGATCAGCCAATTAAAAATTTTAAAAAAATAATCTATCCTGTTTAATTCATAACGATAAGGTCTATTCTTTTTGATTCATAAAAAAGGCTCATCTTTTTATTAGAGTTAAAAGGGTTAATCATATAGGATAATATCAAAAAAGCGAGCCTTTTTTATGAATCAAAAAAAAATGAACCTTGTGAATCAAAAAGGATGCGGTTGCTTATAAACAACGAATCAAAAAATAAATTGGAATTTATTAACACGCTGACATCTGGATATGGATTTTAACAGTTCATCATCCTAAATTGCTGATTTAAGATAATTTTCCTATTTCGTGCCATTTCGTGCCATGTACATAGAGTAGATCTTGCTAACCAATTATGAGATTAAATCTTCATTATTAGATTTAGGTCTGACCCTTCGTTTATTAGATGTATCAATTGTATATGTCCTTTCTAGTATCTAAGAGTTATAGTACGTATCGTGCTTTATATATTTAAATTACAGATTATCAAATGGTTACAAACATTAGACCATTAATTACTAATATCGACATACATAATGCAAAAATTTCGATCATACCACTTTTGAATGTCATTAAGTTAAAACCTTCATATTCTACTCTTATCGAAGGTTCGAGCTATCGATAGAAATGAGTTATTCTCAGTGCCATCACTTAAGAAAATTTCAGCTGAACACGATTGGTTATTAAAAACAATTTCTTTAATTCTTCTGTTAGTAACTTCCCATATGGGGTGTCCCCAATTAAAACAGCCCAGATTTACATATATCTCATTTTGAGATAATTGAGTTTAATCATTTGGTTTGATTTTCGGACTGATCCGGATTAACCAAATTTCATGATTTTGATTGGTTAAAAGTAACAGGCAACTATCGGGTAATCTCGTGATGTGCTTGGCCTCGTGTAATTTTTCTTCTATATTCTTCTACATTATCTCTATTTTTCATTATGCAAATCGACTTTCATTTATAATTGAAAAATGTCAATCATGTCAAAATATACATGAATTTGATAAAAACTCATTTTTTTTAAAAAATGTAAATCTGGGCTGTTTTAATTGGGGACACCCCATATAAGATTAATCGAACTTCTAATAATTTCCTTTTGATTTTCTATAATTTCAACCATTATTCACGGAAATGAGAAAAAATGAAAAATCAATGTGCAATAAATTTATCGTTCATTAATGAAATTATTTATAATGATGAGTTCTGCCAAGTAAAACTGAAATTTAAATATAAAGTTCATTACCATTAAGGAATATGGGATTTTAATTGACCCAATCAAATGATCAGGATAAATTCATTTCATTATTATTTAAAGCTCTAATTTGTTGTATAAAGAGATTCTATATAAAAACACTTATAAATATGTTAGAATTTGTTGCGCTATGTCATGTGCTTCGTGATAGTGCAGGTCAAATCTTCCCGAGACATAAGACTTGCATATATTTCTTCGTCAGAAAAATCTAGTACAACATTAAGGCATACTGAACCTGTAAGTTGTATCCGAGTTTGTTCAATTAGCAGTTTTATTTTATCCTAAGATATTAAGATTTTTTTTTTAAAAAAAAATTAGAGAATACAACTCTCGTAAGAATCTTCGATCTCCTTCGAACCTGGTCTTGTGTCAATCGATTCTCTTCCAAATAATGATTCGGAAATCAGATTAGATGCACGGAATCTGCGTACATGCAAAATCGACGAACACGTAATTGCACGAAATTTTTTCATGTGCACGGCAATGTGCACGAAATAATAAACGGCTACATATACTCTCGTCCTGTCACGTACCCGTGTTTGACCATAAATTCCGTGCACCATTTTTTATAGAGAAGTCTTCTCGACAACTATAGTAAAATCTTTATACTGTATTAAAGTAGATCCAACAATAATTTTTATTGCTTAATCAAGTTACTATATAAGACACACTGTTTTTTATAAGAAGTCTGCCTTCACTTATGCTTGTAGTATGTACGCGTTTTTTTTACGTTCTATTAAATAAAATTGGTTTTATTTACATATTTATCTATCTTGCACATGGCTGATACTCTTGTATGCTTAACATTATTTTCAAATTATATTTTTATACTCACTTTTGAGTTTTTTTTTTAGAATGAGTTGTAACAATACCAGAAGTTGACCCAACAGTATCAGTTGTAAGGGGGATTTGTCCAATTAGTCAATAATCGTGATGAACCAATCAGAGGTCGAGCAGAGAGACCCGGAAAATCACATGTGCGGATTAAACCTATTTTTCATTGGTAATGACAAATTGTTAAGTGCAATATGTTTAGTAAATATATTATAAGACTCTCTTATAATTAAGAAACTCACTTTTTTTAGTATACGGATTGGTTACAGAAATATATTTATCAAAAAATGCAAACAGGTGAAATAAAATTTAACTTACCCGCCTTTTTTTTTTGAATACTATATGTTGTGCGCGAGAAATTTTAACTTAGATTTAGTGAAATTAAGGTAAAATTTTCATAAGAATGTTTGATAATGATTTTAGTCAACTTAATTTTCTGAAAGGTCTAAAGAATTTATGGTCCTGGTTCTGTTCATTTATTAATGTCAACATGATATTTTGATCATAATTAATTGTTCCTTTTTTTATGTTCTGGGGTTTCATCAAACTTTTATTTATAAATATTAGTTCAAAGTTCTAATCTTTACCTATTACAGAGTAATTGAATAATTGATTAATTAGTAAAAAATATTTTCTTATCAATCATAGTAAAATCCGTGTCAACGCCGTGAATACTCCAAGCTCAACCGATCATTGAATATCTTAGAACAAGTAAATATCTACAGAAACAAGAGAATATTTAGCTGAAATAAACCACTGCTTAATTAGAAAATACACGCGTAACCGTGATTATTAACGCGTAAGAACCGGCCTTATAAAATACCAAATAAGAAAATACTTTGAGTTATTCTCCAAAAGTGATCAAAATGATGTAATGTAACTTATGGCGCAACAAGGCTTAAAAAAACAAATTTCCGATCAAAAAAAAACAATTAGAATTTTGATCATCGGCCTACATTAAGTTAATGCAAGCCAACCGCCTAAATTACGTCACAGTCGCCGGAAGATTCCTTTTTTACTCATCGTGGCAATTTTTACATATTCACACGATATCAAACGATATATTATAAAACATTAATTTTAGATAACCTCAAATAAATAATCCCTTACAATAAACTGTTGTTGAAAAAGTAAATGAGAACTAAAAATATCATTGTATATCATTTCATTAGGCTGCATTTTTTAAATCAATGGCGTTACGCGATTAATTTGGGACTTTGTCATAGATTTCGGTCAGTCCCAAATATAGGTTTTATATCTGTAGAATCTAAACAACCCGGGTTTTGGTTAAATAATAAAACCGGTGTAACAGTACATTTTAATAAATTACGGTATTTTTTAATGATAATGATGGGTATGAATAAATGATATACTGTATATCGGTATTTCTTACATTAAATTTTGTGCTGAAAAATATTCTTAAGAGAAAAAATCGCGGTTTGTTTTAATAATAGGTATTAGTGTTATATTGTTAAGAATTTATCGTTTGCTATAAAAACTTATTGCTTTTCTTTAAATATATATTAAAATATTGTTATATATCAATATTTATAAATTATTATTTAATTATATTTTTAAGCACATTCGAGTTTCTAAAAATTTTACAAAAATATATTTTCTTGCAAACCCCTGTAATTAGTAATTAGTAATCAATCACATAAAGTTTCGTCGTATCGGTATGCAGTAAGATTAATGACAGATTGCGACCTCCAATGAATGTTAATCTAAAGAACCATCCTAACGATAAATCCTGAAAACCCCTGCAGAACTTTTAATAAATATCCTAACAAGTACATACTTACGTAAAGTTCTAGTTGATTTGATTTATTAAAAATGAAAATTAAAGTTTATTTTGTTACATAAATGTAACCTATATTAAGTAAAGGTAAACCTTAAAGTTATCAAAATGCATTGTATGTGCGTACGTCGGTAATTTTCGAAAATAAAAATACAGGATATTTATACATGATAAATATTTATTTTTGGAATCAATCTTTCATTACGGGTATTAAAAGTTTTTTCTAGAACATATTATATTTTAATTCTTGAAGAGCAAGCTGCATTTCTTTAAACTCGTGTGAATATCTCATCACTAGACTAAGAAATATTGAACAAGTAAAGATACTTGGAGATGGGTTTACAAAATGGAAAGAAATGTATTTATATACCAAATACATTACCCCTAGTCATTATTTACATATTTCATATGTTTCCCATCTAATACTCTATCTATACAACTACTATTCTTTTATTGCCTTTAAAATTTCCTTTATAATTTAATTTCTTTTACAATGTCCATCAGAATTAATTCCACTTATTAATTGAGAGGATTAACTCCACTTATTATAATTATTATTTGAAAGGATTGGTTTTTCCGCATCGGTTTTTGATAATAAAGAATTTCTTAACACGCGATTTAACTTTCTCAAACGAATTTTTACATTCTTTTGTTTTAACAAAGTTCCTTGATCTCATATCTCCTCCTATTTCAGAACAATGTGAATTATAAGTTTTATTATTTTGAGAAGGGATGACAAGTGATGATTTTGTCGATATAGTTTGATGTGCTTGTACGTCACCGGAAGAGCACCTTTCAGGATCACTACAAGAATTATTTGTTATCTGAGCATTCGTGCTCATGAAAGGATCATTACTTGATGCGTAACTGTTTGATGTATTAAATGTTGTGATTAAATTATTTTTAGTTCGATTATGAGTTTGTGTTAGACCAAAAGGTACAAAAGAACGTTTTAATCTTGACGCGGGGTTTTCGGTGAGTTTAACGTTGGCAGGTGGTGTTTCTATTATTTCGATAAATTTTGATGTGACACAATCCGTTGGTTTTAAAGGAATAACAACAGAAGAGTCTTTGGTTTTTTAATAAAATAAATAAATAAATAAATTCTTTTTTAAAAATATTTTCATGTGTAAAATAATAAGATATTTTTGACAATACCATTTTCTCTATCGCAAATTCCTTCTGATGAGGTTTCAATTTTAAAGTTATTGCAACTAATCGTGTTGTTATTTGAGTTGTCAACGACATCTTGAGAATTATTACTATGAGTAAGATTAGGAAATTCTTCATTATCAGATTCGTCTAACCAACTAACACCAGAATCAAGACTAGATATAGTTGATAATCTTTTACGAATATTTGAAAGTTTGTTTGAAGTTGATTCTTTTAGTGATTTGTAATATATTTTTGAAGTTTTATAAACTGAAGGTTTCGTTTTTACTTGCATATTTTTGGTTTATTAAAAATATTAGAACTATTCAAAACAAGGAAGAAAAAAAAAAATTTAAACGGATGAATCTGATGATTTTGAATAATATTTATCAGATGAGTTCAAAAAAAAAGAAACAATAAACGCCCCACTTTTTTTGCTTAAATAAGTATTAATTATTTTTTTGCTCACGTTTTCAACAATATCATCGGTAAAATCCCCTCAACAATTTTGATATCATTGTTATTGATTCTTTTTGATAATATAAATATTTTTGTTTTCTTATTCAAATAAAAAATTCCAGGATTTAAATCATGCAGAAAATGAGACATTTATTTGTTAAGGTCACTGACAAGCTAACGTTGTAATCAACACCCCAGCCATCGTAATAATAGAGCTATTTAAAGATAAAAATGAGAATTCTATTTTTTTTTTTTTAATAAATGGCTTGCTTTAAAAGGCTTGAACTTTCTGGAATAGTTTGCATGATATTTATAATAATATTTATATAATATTTATAGTAGGAATGTTTATTATTATATCGATATACTCGGTGTATAAATTAAATTTATCGTTATCTACCATTTTAGAACAGACTTGTCAAAGTTTACAATTCATACAAAAAAAAACCAAAAAAAACACGAGGATTTAACGAAAATATTCTGTCAACTTTGTCATCAATTTTGTCATCACCTTTGTCATTAACTTTATTAATTCATCTATTTCATCAACTATTTCATATATCAATGATCGATATTATTAAACTGTATTTTGAATAAAATGACGACACTTTTCAAACCATAGTTAAAGTATGATCCCACACACATTCAATAAAGCAAATAACATAAAATACACATTTGGTAAGAACCAGAAAACAAGTCGTCTCCTGTTAGGGATGTTAAATTGCGAATCCAGTCTGGTCTTGATCCTGGATTCGGTCCTTAAATCACATGAAAATATAATAAAAATACAATACATTTTATATGACTGTATCAGATCCTGGATTGAATCCATCGAACAAGTCCATTCAATCAAATTGATTTTGTATTGTTATTTCAGGTCTAAGGTTTATAAAATGTAGGATCGAATCCCTACTGATCCTTGAAGAATCCGTTAGGATTCGATCCCAAAGGACCGATTAACATCCCTATCTTTTGTGTTCCCTTTGATAATTTCTATTAATAGAATAAGATTGTATCAACCAATCACCATTGAATCGATGCCATTAACAAATGCTCGGTTTCATGTTACACTTTATTATAAAATGAGAAGTTAAAGTCGGGAATATTTCAATCGATTTTATTGAAAATTTTAAATATTTAGAAATAAAACCAATATTTCTTACTTATTATCATCGTAACATTCACTAAATTACACTGTGATAGCTATTGGTGAGTCCTATTGTTGGCTGGAAATGGGAAAACTGTAATCCGAAAAATCCTCATTTTGGAATTAACACAAGCTATCGTTATTAAACATTTACACATATGTATATATGTATATATATATTACGTACACTATGTAACAAATATACCTTTTCTTAATTAAAAACATTAATATGTTTTTTTACTGGTCGTAATATATGTATTAATCCGATCAATAAGATTCATACGTAGAAACAATTTCTGTTGATCTCTGCATACAAATCAAGGTTGTAAAGAGAATTGCATGTTTACTACAATTAGTTTTTTTTATTAAATGTTTCATCTTACTGTATAAGCTTGAAACTAACTGAAACTAGTTTCATTTGTGATACTAAATGAATAAATATGCTGTAAACGTAAGTGCTTCAAAAAAGATGGCGCGAATATGTAATATGTAACAATATTACTCACATCGACATTACTATTCACAGAAAACATGGGTTACTAATCGTAATTAGATTGATACACTACAAGATATTCTAAAGATATTCTAAAGATGTAGGTAAATGATGGAAAAATGTATTCCAAACTTTTATTGTCATGACATATTAAGAAACAATTTGAAGTGACAATTAGTGTGGCGTTTTTCAGATTTCATGATAAAATGTTTTGAATATTATTACAATTATAGTTAGAGACCTTGATATATAATTGCTATAACTATCTTATTATGATGCCGTATATCTATGTCATAATTACGTACAGCATACACTAATTATATTATTAGTAGTTTAGCACAATAATTTTAATTTGAACTGGAGTATGAAACACGGATATATAAAATTTGAAAAATTTCCGTTTACATGTAGTGTATATACAAGGACGTTAATTAAAATAATTTAAATACATATTTATATAATACATAAATTAAAACCTGATTTTTATAAACAAAAAAAGTAATCTTATTTAATATTAGATAATATTGGTTTTAAAAGTTTAGAAAAAGGTTAGGTTACATAAAATTTTATTATTAAAATTTTAAAGATATTTAATATAGTTAGAGTTGGTAGATTATAGATATTAAAATATAATTTATATAGTATATTACTAGTTAAAATTAAAATTTTTATTAAAAAATTAAATTCTAATTTTTGCTATTTGGTTACTATTTAGTAGTATTGACATATTGACAATTTGATACTGTAAATTTATAATTTTAAAAATATATAACAATATTTGCAATAAAAAATGCTAATACAATATATAGTTTATACTAAACATGTTTTAATTTTTTATATTATTTTTAATATTACAAAGATTTATGATTTGAAAAATTATATAAAACAATGCATTTATATATATATTTGGTACTTTTTTTTTGTATATTTATATTACATTAGAATTAAAGTTAAAATTAGAGTTAGAATTAGAATTGTTTTATAATAAAATTGTATAATATATATATATATATATTAAAATAATTACTTTGGTCTTTTGATTTTTATTAACAACTTTTTTAGTAATATGATTCTATAAACCATTACAAAAAGAGTATACAATTAGTTACACATGTAACTTTTCTATATTATCTATTTAAAGAATTTGTTCAAAGATTTTTTACCAATTACTGTACTTAACAATTTTGCTTAAATGTTCTATTTTAAACTCTCAGAACTTAAATCTGTGTTAATATTACTAGGTTATATCCAGATTATTATCTTAATCTTAGAGCTATTTCATCTTTAAAGTAAACTTTTTAGAGCTTTTTGTACCTATTTTCACAACTAATTTAAATATTACTATAGTAGAACTAATACTTGTAATTAAAGTTATATTATTTAACTATTATATTCTTGTAAAATTTACTTAAATCTTAGTATTTACTTTACAGTATTTCTTTAATACTTTAGTATTATTAATTAGTACTATTATAGTTGGCATTTGAATAAAAAGATCTTTTAGCTTGGTTTTAAAAAAAATAATTGTGCTAAAAAATCATCAAAGATGTTGATTATAAATTGTTGTTATAACAAATCAAGTATATTTTTAGCTTTGATCTGTTGAGCAATAAGAATAAATATTATTGTTATATTAACATTTTTTGTATTAGGTATTTTTTAATTTTAGTTATTAAGTTTGAAATTATTAGTTTAAATATTAACATTGCTTTGTCTAAGTTTATATTATATATATTAGTATTCTTAATATTTGTAAGTATTTTAATCCAAGTATTTGAAATATGATAAAAATAATATTTTTGTTTAGTTGTTTAACTAGATTTACTAATACTTTAATTGAAAGTATTAGTATTATAATGCTAAATTTTTTAATATATTCTAAGTTTTCTGACAAGTTTGGCTTATCAGTAAGATTTGCTATTGTTATATTAGATATAAAAATTTGTAAATAAATGTGATTTAGTTAATAAACTATTTTGCTGTTTGGTTGTTTGTTATGAGGTAAATGAAAATATTAGATGTTTTTTTTTTTTTTTTTTTTTTTTAAACTTTGGCGACAATGCCAGTTGGTTTTTATTAGCTTAATTTTAATATAGTACAAATTTATGGTTACATTTTAGGATTGATTATTACTAGTACTATATACTATCTAATTTAACACTACTGA